TGCAGTTTTCCAGAAAACACTCACCAACCAATAAATGTAACCGACAACATTCCATTTGTTAATGGGCATATGTGAATAAGCAGTGGGAAAACAGGCTCATATTAGAAAATGGCTGAGTCCTTTATAACTAAAAGTGTGGTTATATAAATTTGGACACTGTCAATGTTCATAATTTAAACCTTTAGTATCTGGTCAAAATATTGCTTGGGAAACATTTTATTAAAACTGAGCTAAATTGTCTCAAGTTCTTTTATTCATACAATAGAGGCTGAAGAAATGGGGGAGAAAAAAAATTATGTGGATTGCAGGTATTCACCACTATACCTGGAAACTTTTTTCAAATCCATATTCTCTTTTGATAAACCAAACATATCCTGCCTACAGTTAATATTAACTGAATACTTTGACCATTTTCATTTTGAATGTGTTTTATCAAAACCACACAGCTTTCCTGGATTCTGATACCTTTCTACTTTGAGAGTTGTTGTACTAAAGATGAAGACTTAGAGCCTGGTTGTGGCAGCACACCTGTAATCCCAGCACTTGGGAAGCAGAGGCAGGGGTGAGCTGAAGACCAGTCTGGGCTACAAAGTGAGTTCAAGGCCAGCCTCAAGTATATAGCAAAACTCTCAAAAAAAAAAAAAAGATGAAGACTTCTTAATACCAGAAATCCAGAGGCTGAGGCAGGAGGACTGCTATGAGTTTGAAGCCATCATGAACTACTGCAGAAATGTAGCACAGTCACTTAGTATAAGCGTCACACTCCCCCAAGCCCTGGATTCAAATTTCGATAATCTTCAAGCTGTTAAACTCCCAAAGAACACATTGTGTTCTACACAGTGACACCCTATCTCAAGAAACCAAAAAAAGTGAAAAGAAAAAAATCCAAAAAGCTGTGACTATGTATAGTGAAGAATGCAAAGGTAATAATGTAAAATCAATCAACTTACATATATAACATATTCGTGTCCAAGTCAATGCAAACAACATCTTGTGGTGGGTCATGAAGATCAAAATACCTCGAGTCAACTCCAACAATGAATGGAAGAGGCGCACTAAGCACTGCAGCCAGCGACAGAGGACACAGGGGAATGTACGGGCATTCCCACTGAAATGGAAAGATCATCTGCGAAAAAAGGTTTTGAAATAAGGTTAACCAAATTTTAATTTGCAATGAAAATAATTGCATTAACTAGTATTGACAGGGAACCACTGGACTGGTGAGATGGCTCAGTGGTCTAAGGCACCTACTTAGAACAAACTAAGCTAAACAAAGCACAGGGACCGCGGTTCAATCCCCCAGCACCACATGCCAGCCAGCCCCGCCCCCTGGTGGGCTGAGCTGGCCACACACACTA